GGAATAAGTGGGGGAGAATGTCACGGACAAAGTTCTAAACATGATGTTTAATGTAATACTTATGTATGTCTGTTTGTTCATGCTTTGCACAGCATGTAGAGGAACAGTTGAAGGCTTAACAGCCCCATTTTAGTTGGGTTTGGTGGCTTTCTTAGGCTTGTAAATAAAGGTTGTGTCATGTGGACACTTGTGAGAGATATTCGGTCTGTAGTGAACCATTTTGATCCTTTGTTGTGCAACCGTTCAAAGCTTGTAAAGTCTATTTGTAATTTACATTGTCTATGAAGTGTTTCTTGGAATGTTTGGTTGTGGGTCCCGAGTGAGGCACTTTCTTTAACTCGTTTTCTCTTTTGTAGGTCCTAAGGGACCATGGGAGATTTTGGGGACGAACACGCAATGGTGCCGCACGACTTAGGCAAAATCAACTAAGTCCGTGACATTCTGGCTCAATGAATTATTATCTTCATAATAATTCACTTGACTTATCGATTACGGACGTACTAGGCCACTACGTTGCAATCCCCAGACGATACAAGTGAATCCAATCCATTGGACCTGTCTGTCCTCAGTTACCATATACCTTTAGTCTCTCATCCATCTAATATTCCATAGATCGTATATCAGCCATGGTGCTATCAGACCCATACGGTTTCTACTCGAGTCTCGCTATAATCAGATTCTCTTGGAGAACTCTTTCTCTCTCAATCTGAATGACCCTGGCTAGGGATTTGTTTGAGTAAGAATACATGAGACATTTCTCTCATGACACCGAGAGTGGATGGTCCTCTATCGACATTCAATAGCCCTCATAAGGTTGACTACCATTCCCGATGATCGATTGTATTAGATTTGGGACATCCAAACATATAAGTCTAGTATCAAAGAGTGGAGCACTCATACAGGACATCCTTGGTATCTCAAGTCTAAGGATCAGATACACCACTAGGACTACGGAATCACTGTCTGACAATGAGGCATCATCAACCATTCAGCATTCTGTAAGCGGATCAATCAATTTGAACTCATTCCCCAATGAGCACATGTACTGTATCCTTAGTGTCCCCACACGAGCAACTTTGAGACCAACTGCATCCATCATATGGATGGGTATACAATATACTAGTTTATCCGGTTATCTCGATGTCCCTCTTGAGTAACCTATGGCCGGGATTATTTAAGATCTGCGTTTAAAGACGAATCGGTCTCATTATCGTGATCCCATCACGATCCAATTCCTATTGCATGGATCCAAGGACATCACAATATATATATATATATATATGCATATATGCAACAAGCAATATAAAGTGATAAATGCCAAAATATAATAAGCAAAAAATATTGTGTCAAGTCACACGTGTTATCACTCTCGTGATTGGCTTGCAGGGCACTTATGACTAGCACTATGTACCACCTAAGAAGAATTCTGAGTGTAAGTACCAGTGAGTTACATGGGGAGGATTGATATAGCTCATATTCACTTAAGAGAGCTCAATAAGTTAGAGGACAAAGTTGAGTAAACAAATATTGCTACCAAGGAAGCTAAGGAGAACAAAACCAACACGAGCCCTGTAACATGATGGTAGAGGCCATGCATGAGAGTTGCAGTATGTCTTTTTATTGACCAAAGGGAACTGCTCAGAGAACACAAGGGTGTTGAAACAGGTGGTCGAAAGGAGCGAGAAAGCGACAAGTCTAGAGGAACTTATCTACCGAAAACCAAGCATTAGTTAGAATGAATGTAGACTCGGATGAGTGTTGCAGTGCCATAGAGGTTGATCTACTGATTTCAAAAAAAGGGACGCAGATGTGAGTTAACAGATAATAGGGTCATATGCATGGCAACACCATAATATCATATAGGCAAGACTTCTATGGAGTCATCGATCCCTTGCTCTCATAGAGGGAGAGCGCTTGGTCGTAAAAGGGGTCGAGGAGGTAGAGAATGTAGAGGCAAACTCCAAGTATCGAGATAAGATTGAAGGGCAGAGGCTAGAGAACTTCGTAAGACCAGTGTCAATGGGCTTCTCATCAAAATAGTTGAAAGTGGGAGACTTTAGATCGATGGAGAAGTGTGCTTGACTATGGAATGAAGAAGGTAGTATGTGATATTGTACTTTTTCTACTCAAAGTAGGCGACATAAATGATAGAGAAGATGGTATAATCCCAGAGATGACCAAAACTATTTGATACTTACTCCAAGTCGAGGCGAAACTTTACTCTTTTTGGGCAAAACTTTTTTCATTCCAAAAGTTTGATAGCAATGAGAAGGCAAATTGTAGTAGCTAACTCAATGCAATGAGTGCAAATACTTCAGGTGCCTCGGAAGTATAAGCAAAGAGTAGGTAAAGGTTAGTAACTAACTCAATGCATGAAGTACAACCCTAGGCAAGCGAAGTCAAATAACCTCTGCCTTCTCAACGCTTAAGAGAATGGGTGAATTTAAGTACCTTAATTCTCTTATTTATCTAGCAGAGGAACTCTGCACAAATTCAAAGACTCTTCGAAGAAAGTGGAAGATAATAATTATTAAATCATCACTAATGGTGATCGGTGCCACCAAAAGTAGACTGTTCATTTTATTTCCCAATGAAATGTCAATTGAAAGCGAAAGTGATGTGAACCTATTTAAATGTGATAACTATGCAAAAGAGGAATCGATAGAAAAATTTTATGAAGGAAAGACCTCAAAAACTTTGAAAGTCTATAAAGCGATACTCGTTAAAGCTCCAACAAGCATCCATCTAATTCAAGCGGCATAAGACGTTTGAGAGACTAGCACATAATAATGAAGTTTTTTTCCTTCATCTGAAGGATCCCAAGAACCAATAAGGATTAGCACAACTTAGCTGACCCCACACTAGATTTAGAGTCATTGGTGAGTTGAAGCAGCATGACGGATCAAAATTCGACTACTCAACAACAGCGATATAAAGTAGTTGGGAGACAAGAGGCGTATTGCAATTGGAGCAAAAGATTGAAGATTAAATAAAGACAAGGAGGCAGCGACAGCAAAGGCTTTGATGAGGACACCGAAGGAAAATGTGAGGGAGAATATTATGGAAAAAACTATAAATATGGTGTTTGATATAATGCTCGTGTCTATATGTGTCTTTCAATTTTGTTCATACTTTGCACAGCATATAAAAGGCTTGTATTAGTCATGACAGACCTATTTTAGGTAGCTTTTGTTGTTGTTTCAGGCTTATAATCGTAGGTTATGTGTAATCATCACGTAGAGATAAAACTACTTAGAAATATAGCATCCAAATAATCATTTTGGGGGTTTTCTAGCTTCATAAAGTAGTACGGAGTGTCAACTATCACAACACCCAAAAGCTATCTAAGTGACACATGGTCGAATGGGTCTTTAGGGTAGTGTCTGGGGCTGAATGGGTCATGTAAGCACTTGTGAAGATTTTTAACTGTGATAAACCACTTTAGACTCTTTGTCTATGATCGTCCAAAACTTACAAAGTTTATATTTGTAATTTACATTGCCTATCAAGTGTTGAGATTGACCATAAGGGCACTATACAAATTAAACAAAACCCCGTGACACTACATTATAGGCTCTTTTATATATATATATATATATATATATATATACACACACGTGATCACATAAGTCATGTCTCTTTAATCATGCTGTGGCAAAAGCCATCTTATATAGTATAAGATTTCACATGAACCAATTGTTGGATAAGCATGAGGTCGTAATTGTAGGTATTACCACTACACAATTGATCACACTTTACACAGAATTTTACCAATAATTACTTTCATTTAATAGTTGGTATATCCTACTCTTTAACCATCAATTCAAAGACCATTCAAAGACCAATAATGGAATCAATAAAAGCTTGCTAGTGGCTCTGATACGGGCTTTCATTATAAACCGTGCATAGATTGTCGATGATTAGAAAAGTTTGAGTGGCACATTCATCCTAAATCAGCAATGTGCCACCTAGTAGTCTGCCAAATCTGCAGAGGAATCAAGGACGAGTCAAATCACTAGTTAGTACAACCAAATCATGTCACCAAGTACACACAAGAGCGTTTTATACCTCATCCTAAGAAAAGAAATCCTTGATCACAACAATAAATTGAGCGTTCTCTGCTTAAGATATCATTAGCCCCAGTCCCTGTCAGTTTACTTCTAAACACAAACCAGACATCTCCATGGTTCAATGAGATGAACCTGAGCTGGGCAATGATTTCATAGCAATCATTTGTCGACCACCAACTTCACAGTGCCCACCCAGCAACCATTGAGAGGAGAATATCTCAGAGCCATTGGGGACCTGCAAATAATTGTTGACATGTGTTGGCACCTGCACAACTGAAGTTGTGTTCCCTGGTCCATCACACAAAAGGAAGGCAACATGATGCAACATTGTTTCTTCTCTAGAATAAACATTGGCCTCTTTGCTCTCTGGAGTCCATTTACAAACCAAGAAGCACAAACCTCACTTGCAATTTTATTTACACAGGGCTGCTACCTTCACTTCTGCAAGGGATATCCCACCAGCAGTATCAATGGTTTTTTATAGATTATGGTTGGAGAACTCACCTGTCTTCGAGCAGCTAAGGAATGCTCAGCTCATCCACAGCTCTTGACAATTCTAAGTCAATTCCTACCATAAGCTCCTGACCTGTATTGATCTTCTCTTCTCCTTTAGAGTCCGACTTTCCCTTGGCCTCGTCAGCTGCTTCCATGCTCGAGGATGCAGCTGCGATGCACCCCTCGAAACGGAAGCAGCTGATGAGGTGGTCATTTGTCAGTCCAGCAGCCTGCATGAAGGAGTATATGATTGTTGGGCCCACGCTGCGAAAGCCCCTTCGAACCAAGTCTTTACTTATGACATCTGCTTTTGGAGTCTTCACGGGAACTTGACGTGGATAACGGAATTTGCTGACAATGGGTTTGTGGTTCACAAAACTCCAGCAGTATCTCTCAAACGATCCAAACTCATCTACTATCTGTCATGATATATCAAAAGAACGGTAGGTAAGACCGGTGGTGTAGCAACTCAGATCACAAAATATTAATCCTTGCTTGTTTACTTGTTTCAGAAATTATAAGTAAATTACAGTAAAAGAAATGGAAGAAAGATTGACCTTGAGTATCTGGCGTGCATTCTCAATGATGGCTCTCAGCTTTGGCTCTGACAAAAGGGAGCTAGCAGTGCTTCCAGGCACCACAATCTTCTTCTCATTCAATTTGGAAACTGCAACAGGGTCGAAATCCAAGAAAACTTCCCTGAAAAGGTGCTCCCATAAGTCCTAAGGTAATGATTGGCATTCTAATTTTTTCAACAGTTCTAACCAGTACCTAAACATGTGCCTTTTGCTGAGGATAACAGGCCACGTAAGTTCAGCTAATGCACCTGATAGTACAAGAAGTTCAAATAATTTCCTGCAGATTTTTTGGTGTACCAGACACCAAGAAAAATCATTATTAGTTCACAAACTGTGCACCAGAAAGTTCTAATCTCTCTAGAAAACTGAGAAAAAAGGTCATTGTTGTATACTTATCATCATGGACAGGAACTCCCCATTCTTCATCATGAAAACAAGCATAACATGGTTCTGTTGTAACACAAAAAAAGAAAAATAAAACTAAGCTTTATTGCGTAACAGACTAAAAGAAATAACAAATATATATGGAGAACAAGTTCTATTGATAAATAAAAAGAATGTAAGCAAATCATAAAGTGAAGGCAACAAACAATTCCAACTAAGAAGCAAATAATAAAAAGAAGCAGCCTTGGACAGCAAGGCCGAATCAGATGTTACATTCCAAAAAGAACTTAAAACTTTAAAAATGTGATGGTCTACAACAAAACAGGAATTCACTAATTTTCTTGATGCTATAGATTTTGCAGATACCACACAGATATTTTGAGGCAAATTGTAAGAAGACCTGACAAAATCAAGTATAATATCAAAATGAAAGTCCAACAAACTTAGTTAATGTTTCCCCCCCCTCTCCTTCCCCCTGATCATCAACTTTGGGTACTAACATTAAATCAGTAAAAAGTTGCACAAAAACCAAAAACTGACTTAGAATGCCACACTGATGATATTGAGAATTGTTCACATAAGACTATAACCGAACAAACTCTTTTGATGTTTACATTAAATAAACCAACTCAACAAACAACCTGCAATGATTTTTATATCACAAAACTAAGGACTTGGAGCTTTGTTCTTTTCTTTTTATAAGACTGGTGGTTCCTAGTGTGGCTCCTGATAAATTATGCAAATGTTCACCATGATGATTAAAATCCTACATAAACTAGGATCCTGATATCAATATCACCAGGTTAAACTTTTGCCTCACCAAGACAAAGATATTAGATCATTCGTTTACCAAACCGATAGAATTAAATGGTTAGTCTTCTCTTCAAACTAAGCCAATATCTTCTTGGGTTTTAGCAGAGCATTCCAAAAAGTGCATTGACAGGATAAAGTGTACACACACACATATATACATATATATACATATACATACATATATATACATATATATATACATATATATACATATAGATACATATCTGTGTGTGTATTAAATTCTGGTTGAATTACTTCAGTTACATAAAGGGTACTGTTTGTTAAATGAATATAGCCTCTGCAACACCAGTTCATACATACTATTGAGATGATTCCACCTTTTGAACACAAGGAATAAAGCCTCATCCCTAAACGCTAGAAGATATTAAATAGCTAACCAGCCAAAAGAATAATTATGAGACTAATAAAAAGAGGACTAAGGAAGAAGTCCGCAAAGACGAGAAACCTATCTAAGAAAACCAACTCCAACAAACCATTCTTTTATGCCACTCTAGTTAGATCTTTCCTCTTCTCTTTTTCTTAACTTCCCTTCTGAACTTTCACTTAACAACTAGGTGCCTCAAGAATTTCCAAACACTGTGCTGACACCAAATTCTTCATACAAACAGGAGACATTCTTCTCTTACACCTACGCTGGGCAACATTGTATTTTATCGCAATACTAAAGTGTTTCCAACCAAAAACTTGCCAGGACCAACACAGTGGAAAGGTTTTCCAAAAACTAAATTAAAAATGTGAAAGACCATAGAATGGAGAAACTGAAAATGTCATAACTTCACTCTTATATGTTAATGGTAAGTATGTAAAAAAACCCTAAACAAGTGATTCCATCGAAGACCAAACGATTGCTCAACTCCATAAAAGAAAGTAGGACAGCCACTGTCAGGAGTAATCCAAAAGGCAGGGGAAGCAAATAAACTCACCCGTATTGGGCGTTACCCAGGCGCACTTCCTCTTTCCCTGCACCAGATCCAACGGGGGCATCGCTGCATCATCTGAAATATTCTTGTCCACCTTAGTCACAATCTTGCCTGTCCTTGGAACGCTCTGCCTGCGCTTGCTGATTAAGCTCGCCCTACCGATCCTGCCTGTGGAGGCTCGGCTGCAAAAAGAATCAGTGGATGCCTCGGAGGAGCAAGAAGCATTCATCGACAGGTTCGACGGCAACAGCATCTCATGCCTCCTAAGAGCTGAGGAAGCACTTAAGCTAGACCTAAAATGCGGCAGATCCGCAGTAGGACTGGAAGTCTTCTTCTTCTCCTCAGTTGCTGCAACCTCTGCGCCGCCCTCAGTTTTACTCAAAGGCTTCGATGTTGGTTTCTGAGCGGTTGCCACTGACCTGGCCTTGTTCCCTCCGGGGACAAGAACCGGCCTTGCCTCAGGATCGGCCACGTTGAGAGAGCGAACCTTGGGAGCTCCCGACATGTCACCAACCTTTTCCACAGATCCAGCAATTTTGCGCCAAAATTGACCAAAACCCCTCACTCACCACAGCATAAACAAATCAAAATTCGAATTTTTCGGCGAGAATCTCAAGGCTCCTCTCCCCTCGCCGAGCAGCACTCCCAAGAACCAAACAGCCAGAGAAATCAAAAGTCTCCAACCCGAACCCAAAAAGGACCGAGAAAGCACTCTAGAAACCCTTTTTTTGATCCAAAACCTCCTTCGGCAGCACGGCCTCCACACCAACCTAGTATTTGCAAAGCAGCCATTCCCAATCTAACCCCCGAAACACTGTCAAAACCGATGAAGGTCAAAATTAGTGTACATTGCGGAAACAGACGATAACCAACACCAACACGCGCGCATTCAGCGTCATTTCACAAGAAAACAAACCAGGAGCTTCAGAACCCTCAAATCGCGACCTAAATCCAGAGAAAGTGCTCGGAATCGACTTACCGGAGGGCCAATCGAGGAGGAGGAACCCTTGAAGGCGCCGATCCGGAGCCAAACGGGGAACGGAGTTGGGAAATGGAAGGGGACACGGAGAATGGGCGTTTCCAAGGAGAGAGAGAGAAGAGTCTCGTAGAGGAGAGAGAAGACGCCGCTTAGTGTTTTAAAAGGACGGACCGGAAGATACCGGTGGGGAGCCGGTGGACAACCGGATGAAACCGGTGGCTTTGTCCTTTCATCCACTTTTTTATAATGTAAACACCCAAAAGTGCCTCGTACTTCATATTTTTACGGATATTGCCACTACTCCGTGTCTCTGTCCGATATTATGTGGCCAACATATTACATAATAAATTGAAATATTTAATCTTTTCTTTCAAATTTAGAACGCTTTTATTTCTTTTTCCAGTAATATATTCTTTTATATCGCCTACAGAACTATTGTCCAAATTACATATATATATATATATATATATATATATAACACTAAAAGCCTTGCATATGTGTGTCATTGTAGTTTATCTCTGTTGATTAACGACATCTAAATTCTAACTTAAATAACTCTCCTTAAAGATAGAAAACATACAGGATCGAATTATTATTGAAAGTATTAAAAAAATAAAATATTTTAAATTCAAGTTTTCTTTTCAATGATAAACATAATTACTAGTAACACGAATTTATTGGATGGATGAATATGAAAGATCTAAAAAAGTATATATATATATATATATATATATATATATATATATATATATATATATATATATATATATAATATTAAAATTGGGAGAAGCAAAATATGCTATTCCCAACGGGCTTATTATACTTATAGCAACTTAGGTGGCCTAAATCCAGAAATAAAATAAAAATAAAAAATACAATGATTTAAGGTAATTGTTTCTGAAAAATGTTAAACAGTAAAAACTGGGTAAATGGCCCTACCAACATTAGAAGACAAACCTTCTGATTCCTGCATCTAGACTTCAAATCTAAACTTAGCATTCTATCCTACTTTTGTTCCTTTCTAACTTACTGCATGTTTTCAAGGAAAACTCTAAACATGTAAAACATGCAGTAGGCATAATTGTCTACCTAACTCAGGTGCTATATAGACTGCCTTTTACGAACAGTACGGCTCACTTGCATGTTTAGGTAAGTTGCACGAGTTGGCACCCGGCATGCATGGTAGGCCCCACAACTACAATTTAGAGGAAGAAATTACTAAATAAAGAGTGCGATATAATCCATGATATTCAAACTCTAGTTGGCAACTATCCCAGTTGTACTCTGGTTAGCATCATAATGTTCTTCGGTAAGAAGCTTGCTCTGAAGGTATTTGATATTATTTATCTACGCGTGTTTATAGTCTGTAAGGTTGGCACTTACTAGGTACTTGAAACTGCAGCTTCTTGCTTGCGTCGACTCGATATCTGCTTTCTTAGACCAGTCTTGTTGTGTTAATTGCTTTAGCTGATTGATATGGCCACTGAACAAGATCTCAAGGGATCATACAAGTACACCTCCAGTTAAGCAGGTGGAATGATGAGCAACGCAGCGTTGCCCAGAGAGCCTCCTTAGTGTTAATGCCTTTTGACCCTTTCAGGGAGTTCTGTAACTTTTGTTCTCTGCCGTAGACTGATGAACTTGACTGAGGCACCATCATCATCACTGCGTATGACCACCACGAAGAGAGAGTGTAATCAGTACAACATCTCACAGGAAATTTAGTTTTCTAAACATGCCACAACAAGACCATTAACATTTTACACACAATCTTACATGGTCTTTTAGCACTGGGCACTAAAAGCTACGATAGATTGAATATGCAAATTAGGTTTTCTCTGGGTGAGGATGCTATCTCCTAATGATATAAACTTTCATGAACTTTATGAAGTACTACACATCCAGGGTGGTTGCATAAGAAACCTCGTGGCATTTGCATTGTGTCTAATCATTCAAAGTCAACAACATCACAAATTCCAAAGACGATTTATAAAATCCAGTTGGGTGTGGCCTTGAATATGATAGAAAGGCTTCTGCACGGGCATGATAAGTGAAGAACTAGCTCGGTGACACTGAAATGGCTGTTAAATGTGTCTCAACTGAAGCAACAGTGAGTACGGCGAGAGAACACTTGGTAGCTAGCCTTTGCAACCTTAATATGAAGATAGTAATGGCTCAACTGGAACAGCATATGGTGAGTTCCAATCTGCATCGAATATCTCTTGCAACTGTCCTACAAGGGCAGGATGGTATGTTCCAAAGCTGACACCTGCTGTCGTGTAGAAGTAATCCCATATAAGATTGCTGGTTCCGATGTGTGCCCGAACATCACTGACAGCATATTTGCCATGGTTGACACGAGTATAACCAGGGTACACACTTCCAGTAGCATTTTTCTTTGATAATGCAGCTCCAGTTTTCTCATAACCAGGCACCTTGTAGTACTTGATATTAACTTGACCTCGACAGTGGTTTCGCTTAGAAGATAGGCATAGAACATTAGAGTATAGGAGGGACTTCAGATATTGATCTGTGCTCTCAATAAAGTGTGTCCAATAGGCTACTAGTATGTTGACTGTTGCATGCTTGGAGAAAATGACCTGTTTTCAGATGCTCTTTTAGACAACAATCATGTGAAACGACTTGTTAAAATTATATGTAATTTAGAATTTAAAGAGAAAATTAACAGAAAGATCACAATAAAAAGATCATTTCTTACCTTATTATCTCCAGATTGTGAGCTATGACCCATCACATAAGATGTAAATATCAAATATGAACAGTTCATTTATAAACTTATAACCTAACAGTGAAAAAATGTCGCAGAATTCTCCAATACAAGAGAAGTGAAGCAACAAGTGCATATATATATGTGCAGATTATCTTCCCATTTAATGATGCAACTAGCCCAAATTATTATGATTGATATGCTATGTGGCTTCAAATTACTGTCCCAAACATGGAAATGCATGAAGAGGTATAGGCCAAAGAATAGAAATAATTATCATCATAAAAGTCAACTCGGGTGAAAGCAACACAGGGATTCTCCTCCAAGTAAACAAGAAAGTTGTATCTCTGCTAGATTTTTGAAATTTTTATCTTTCTTCTTTTACCTTATGCAAATCAATATATACCAAAAATAAATCTTAACTTCCAGCACTGAGTCTAGCTGCTGGTTTTGAGTTTCAAAGGACCATGCATGTGATTTTTTTTTTCCCATATCTCATTACGATAAACTAAGCCAAAAATAACAATTAAGTAATAGAATGCTTGGTGAAAATGATGTTAAGAATTAAAATAATTGCTTGACCATATCAATTCTTCAAATTTATTTAAACCTAATTCCCAGATTTTTCATCAAAATTCAGGCCATAATATCTGAATAAGGAACTAGTATTGCAATGTGCACCAAATTGAGAATCCCTCAACTCCAGTATAGAGTAAATATCAAACCAAGACACTAAATTGCATAATGAAGGCTTGATTATTCACCTCTGATATTGCAGATGAGAGGGAGGGCCAGTAGACAGTTTGTTTTAGATATTGTGATTGACCAAGCCAATCCATGGTACTAATCCTAACAATTCCTCCAAATCGTACAGATTTGATCGTCTCCACCCATCCTTGTTCATCAGCCTGGAACTTAGCAAATGAAAGCTGCATGATGTATGTCAACAAAGAAATAAAGAATCAATACAAGATACCAGAAAAAAAATATTTTGTATGTTCTCATCATATGCAAGAGATATAGGAACAACATCTATTATTGGAGATGAGCAAGATGTTTATGGAGGGAAAATTCATACAGTTGTAGAGCTTGTTATATCTTAAGTGAACGGCCCAAAAGCATCTGGTCAATCCCCAAAAAATATCTAGGTTTCACAATCGTTCTTTACTAGTCCCAATATGGTGGCCATGTGGAATCAGATTCAACTGAACCTGCGAACTATGAGTATGCCCAGAATTTCTGGGTTAAACAATCAGAGCCAATTGGAACCAATGGCTAGCTTTTATAGAAGGTATATACCCAATCAAATCTTGCAAACTATTACATGAAATAAAATGATTTAATGTAATTTGGATGTTTACAAAAAGACTTCCAAATCCATTAATTTGGTGAGATAAGTTTATTTAAATTATCAACATGAGGGTAAAGGAAGACCAAACAATGATTCGATGGCTCGTAATCTGACTAGTGATATTGTATTTAGTCGAGCTCAATGGCAAGATACTGAATAATTGAAACTACAAATAAACTGATGATAGCACTTTGACTTGTTTTATATTGTTTGAATTAAACTGGATAGTTTTGTTATACAAATCCCTCAGTATCCTCTTGTGACTTCTGTAGAAGGATCATGTTTATGTGACGAGATACAAATATCAATTTCAAAATTCATTAAAAAATCAAGCTTTCTGTATGTGATACATGAAAACTAATACAAACAGCAGTAAAAACAATCCTGATAGAAGCACCCATTGCAACTAAAATTAGAATGCAAGACGAACAAGTACGAACAAAAAATGGGCAGCTAATAAGCTCATTTAGTCCCTGAATATAAGTGCTTGAGAGGTCCAAGCAACAACATACCTTAATATACATAATATTAACTTGTTCCTGTTCTAGACAATTATTGTGTGTAATCCAGCAATTATCATTCCAGAAACAAAGCTTTACGCAAAACAACAAAAAGCATATGCTATGAACAGTAAAACAAATATCCTACTTCTATAAATGACTTTTAATCTCTCAAATCAATTAACAGGTAGGCTGAAACAACTCTTGAAGCATAAAATGTAAGTGACGAATCTAGGCCCTCAATGTCTCTGGAGATATGATTAAGGCCTTGAAAAAATGGCTACAATTGTACTTGCTGATGGCTTTTATTCTGTCAAAATTAAATTAAGAAGGGACTGTGACAAACCTTAAGCAAATATTAGAAGAATAATTTACTGAATGTTGCAGTTCCCAATCTCCTAAACATAAATAAGCCTCACTCAGTGCTAACTTGACAGAAGCAAGGTTCGTCGTGTTAGGTACTAGACCCATCTCGGCAATCTATCAAACTGCTATGTACAGATCAATGCCAGTGTACCGACACATGGTATGCTGGTA